AAGGTTGCCATGAATTATGGAATACGTTCAGTAGAAAGATGTCTCTTTATCTCAATTCTATCCTCCCTTGAGATTTTCATGACTCCATTAGAAAGGCACCAAGCAGGTATGGTGCTTTCCAGTTGTTCAAAGCAAACAAAAAATGAACAAAAAGTAAACAAGCATTTTAAAGTAGCATTTGCGTCTTCTGATCAAATGCACAGGAAATGTAGGGATTTATTTATTCATTTTCCCCTATTATAGTGCAGAATATACAGTTGATTAGTTTTGGAATTTAAACTCAGCTGATCATTTCAGGATGTCACATTTTTTTCATCCAGTTTTAACTGTCTATAAACTACTTCAGGGACCATTTAAGTAGATATTGTGCATTCTTTGCAATCTCAGGGATTAGATGATGCTTAGACTTCTGATCCCATAAATGGTGAGAGAGGCATGGATCTGAAGATAGATTTTCTGTGTGTTGCTCCAACATTTTAGAACATTTGTTACAGGCCTCCCATAGAATATTAAAACCTTCTTATTAAGAAAGATTTTGAATTTTAGCAATTATCTTGTGCTGTTTTGAGTTTTTTTAAAAAACAAATTTGGACAGTACATGTTTTTTTTTTTAATATCTTACCAGTTTATGCAGTCTTGTGTTCACATTGGTAAGAATCTTGAGAAGTGATAAACACAGATATAAAATAAATATGAAATGCCCTTAGCAATACCTCCCCTGTTATCATTCTTTCACTCCCTTGTTATCCTACCTAGAACTAAGGAGAATTTTCCTGATAATTAGAACAATTAATTAGCACAACAATTTCCCTTCAGAGATTGTAAGTAACCAATTTCATTGTATACATGATGTACAATGACAATAAAGATTATACTACTCTATTACTCAAATAGTGGAGGTTTTAAAGAAGATACTGGATAATCATTTGTCTGAAATAGTACAAGCTTTCTTGCTTGAGCAGAGGGTTGGACTAGAAGTCCTCCAAGGTCCCTTTCAACTCTGTTATTTTGTTATTCCTTCTCTTCCCTCCACCAAAAATTAAGAAGCACTGTGCCTTCTCTTCCAAGCAGAAATTGTTGCACCACCAATCAATCACTTCTTTGTCTCACTTTGTTTCACCCCAAATTTATGGGACATTTCAGCAAAGGAGAGCTCTAATATCCTCTCAAGCCATAACCCTAGCTTTAGCACAGTAAGCTAAAACATTTCTCTTCAGTCTTGCACCTATTCACAGACTCTGTTTGGTTTATTTGTTTGGAATACATTCCCATCGGTGGAACAGAAAAACTGATGGCATGTGGATATCTTAACAAGAACTCTTTTGACTTGTCTCTTTGAAAGAGCAAATTTCTCTTTCCTCCTAACACACTGAGTGCTTCATACTCAATCATCTCTCTATGCATAATTCATCCATCTGTCCATCCATCTTTAAGTAAAGACTGAACACAGCTACTTTACGTTGAGAGGGGAACTGATAATGGCATTAGCTTTTTCCATAATTCAATCTTGGCACAATGTCATGTACTTGTTTTTCCAGGCAGTTAGCCTGATGTAGTTTGAGTGATTGCTCGGTCGATGCATTTCTGGCCTCCAGTTATCCTGAGTAAGAGGGACCCAAGAGCACAACGGGGTCACCTCCAGTCCAGGATAATTGCTCAGAAGTCTCTTGAAGCAGCAGCAGAAACATTGAGGGGGTCTGCGAAAACACTTCAGTCCATAGCAACTCTTGATTTTTAGCTGCTCTAGAAACCTCTTTAAACTGTACACTTTTGGAGTATTTACAGTTGTGTACTCATTATGACTGGATTTCCTATATGATAATGATGATGATGATGATGATGATGATGATGATGATGATGATGATGATGATGATCATCATCATCATCATCATCATCATCATCATGGTGGTGGTGGTGATTTTTAAGTCATGCAAAGCAAGGGATGCTAGAAACAGAAAACCAAATCTTTTGATAAGTTTAATGAAAATAAGTTTAGTTAGTTTAATGAAAAGAAGGACTAGGGGTGACACGATAGCAGTATTTCAATATCTCAGGGGCTTCCACAAAGAAGAGGGAGTCAAGATATTCTCCAAATCACCTGAGGGTCGAACAAGAAGCAACAGGTGAAAACTAATCAAGGAGAGAGTGAACCTACAATTAAGGAGAAATTTCCTGACAGAACAGTTAATTAGTGGAACAACTTGCCTCCAGAAGTTGTTGGAAGTTTTTAAGAAGAGATTGGACAACCATTTATCTGAAATGATATAGGGCTTCCTGCTTGAGCAGGGAGTTGGACTAGAAGACCTCCAAGATCCCTTCCAACTCTGTTGTTCTGTATTCTAAGTTGTTTGCATCTGAGAAAGCCTTTTATCCAAAGATGGATAAAGTATCTCATAATCTGAAACTCTTCAATTATAGATGACCAGGGAAAGCTGTGATTCTGTCCCTACTTATAGTAACCTAGATCTAACAAGAACCCACACTACCAATCTCTTTCTCCTGCCAGCAATCCTCTTTGGACTATTACGAACTTAACACAGACGCTGTAAACCTGCGCAACTTTTTCTTATATTTCTTTTAATCGGTATGTTGAGTGCATGGGATTGCTTGAGATGATATGAATGATCTCACTTTTTATTATTATATAGTTGTATTGGTGTTTTTAACTTTCTCAGTGAGGACTGTTTGTGTGAGAGTTTGGGTATGAGTGATTCGGAGGACCTGGCGGGGTATGCGGGGGCCATCGAGGTGGTTGGGGGAGCTATATCCACGGGAGAGGGTCGGAGCATCGCGGTCATAACAGGGAGAGGCAGATATGGCGGGGACTCTAGGGCAGGCCATCATCGGGGAAGGAGGGCTCGCTGTGTCATAGAGATCCCTCCTTCCGGCCCTAGGAGTCCCACTCCAAGGTCAGATGGCGCGAGTACTCAGGACCCTGGTCTCAGGCTGCTGTCGCTGAATGCCAGGTCTGTCGTTCATAAGGCCCCCCTCATCCGGAACTTGATAACTGATGTGGGCGCAGACCTGGCATGTATTACTGAGACATGGCTGGGCACGGAGGGAGGAGTCCCCCTCATTGAGATGTGCCCAGCCGGATTTCAGGTGCTACACCAGCCGAGAGCCCAGGGAAGGGGTGGCGGTGTGGCTATTGTAGTCCGGGAGTCTTTAGTACCTCGTAGGGTCCCTGCTCCAGAGCTTGTCGGGTGTGAGTCCCTGCTGGTGAAGCTGGACCTCATGGGTCAAGTGGGTTTGCT